TTACATTATTTGCTAGTCCAATTGTATCTCCGACAGTATCGTAATTTTTCTGTTCAAATAAATTTTTTAAGCATAAAAGAGATAAATACTAATTTAATTAATTTAATTTATTTACCTTAATAATATATGCAATAATTCCTAACGTAAAAAGTATGACAACCTTGGTAATATATTTTTATAACCTTGATTATCATTGCAAAAAATATTAATCGCTTGTTGTTGTTCAAGAATTGGACTTAGTCTTGTCACATAAGAATCAGAATTATATTAATCAGGTGGATTTGATTTATCTATAAGTATTGAGTTTGTTAAATTAGACTGATTTGATTCTGGTTCTGAATGTTGAACTGAAGCTGAAGTTGAAGTCGAAGTTGAAAGTGAAAAATCCAAGCATTGAGGAATTGATATACTTTCAATACTTTCAGATGATTCAGAGCAGTAAATCAACGCTTGATGTTGTTTTGGATGATAACTTGTAAAAATTTTCTTATTATGTTTAGTTTTTTCTTTTATTTTTGTTTTCGATTTTGATTCGTTATATAATTCTATTTAAGAATATTTTAAATAAAAAAAAAATTTTTCTCAAGTTTGATAAAATGACTTAAAAAATAATGATTTTTTATACCATTGATATATTTCTGTGCCGCCAATATAAAATCGTCACCATATTCATTTGCATCTTTAATACTTATTAATAAATCATAAAATTCTTTTATTGTTTATTAAATTGTAATGTTTTATTAATTTCAAACTAAGAGGCTGGGTCAAAAAATAATAATGATATTTTTGATAATTTTCGAATATTAAAGTGATTTTGTTTAATACGCGAATTTTGATTTTACTTATCACGAAAAGGTTTCAAATTTGATGTCGAGACTATTAAATCTCACTTTCTTTAAATAACAATCAAACGAACAGACGCGTCTCAGAGCTAGATCTAATTGGTACATACTACACAGATTTTTTTTGTATTTAGATTATGACTGTGTTATATAAATCACCAAAATATTTATCAAAAGTTTATGAATACGAGCACATTGATAAGGAGAAATTTGTTAAACAGTATTATCAAAACCGGTTTATGACATATTTTGCTTAAATAAATTTTATACTATATATAGTAGGTTGTAAACTAAAATTTTTAGAATGTATATAAAAATATCAACTTGTTTATATACTCTAACAACTTAAACCCGGTTCATATTAACTGTAGATATGATAAATCAATTCATAAACAGTATAATCAGTCAATAGACTTCCCAGTATAAAAAATTATACTGCACAAGATGAACTGCTATGATGTTTCACTTTTCAGGCTTTTGAATCTTTTAAAATCGCTGAAATAGATTTATATAGATCACGTGAATTTTATAGTTTAAGTTGTTATTGTAATATAAAAAATTACAATAGTATTTTAAGCCAAATTTGGCATGAAGCTTAATACCGTATAACCACAAAATAATGCGCAAGGTGTATTTTCGAACTTCGGCCTGAATTAGGCATAATTCGGGCCGAAATTCAAATAATGCCAGTACGTATAAAAAACTATTAAAATTTTTTTATTGAATTTGATTATTTGTTGTTGAGTTGTTCTTGTATAATGTTTTAAAAAATTTACTTAAAAAAAATATGTGTTTTTACTGACTCACCCCCATATAGCATATTATAGGTATATTTGAAGTTCTAAGTTTTTAGCATTTAAAACTTATAACTAGTAACTATATAAAGTAAAAATATTCCTTCCTAATTTATCAATATCTAACCAACAATTATTCCAAATTTGTTTTTTAGACTTTGGACACAGTTGTCCCTTAGAATGACGTTTAATTCACTTTTTTGTTAAACAAATTGAATATTCAATTTTTTCCATTTTTCATTCTTCAGTTAATTTCGACCCATCTATAGTACTTAACTTTTCTGATGATTTATACTTGCAGTCTCATGAATTATGATTAGCTCAATTCTTATATCATTTATTGTCTTCACCAACTTCGTCGCAGTATTTACACCATTTGTAACATTCATTCTTGACATTTTCCCACCTCCATCCAACAATAGAACTACAATAACAATAAAATTTAAACATATAACAACTTTTACAATAATCAGATACTTTGAACCAAATACAAGTATTTTCAGAAAAACATTTACATTTCTTATTATCCATGTCGCACCAAGAACACCAATTTTTTTCAGGTATATACATCAGTCGGTCATCTATAATTAAATATCATGAATACATGTTATTATATTATAATATAAAACAATACAAGACAAGATTTAATTAAATATACTTACACATCATTATTTTAGTAATAATTGAAGAAAAACAAAACTCTAATACAGACACTTCGTGAATTTAAATTAATCTTATCAGCTATATCACATGTCCGTACCAAGATTATAGCCCACGTTAATTAAATCAACTACTTTTTTTTACTATACTGATAAATCATAACATAATTTATTTTAATGGAGTATCACAATATGTTGTTAAACAGACTAACTATTGATAATCCGGTTTATTGATAAATTTATTAGTTTTGACAATTCACGTATAAGCATATGATTCAATTATTAAGTCAACTTAATTTTGAAATATATAAAAAAGTATTAACTGGTTATTCTAAAATTTTAATTTATTTGAAATCTTACTTTAAAATTATGAGTAATATGTAATCTATGATTTATAATATATACTGAATATAAAACAGTATAATTTCGGGCAAAATTATTGCAAAAATCAAATTTTAATTTCAAGCGTAATTAAGTATTAATTTTAATTTCAAGCAAATTTTTGGTTAAAAAATTTTACATAACTCTAGGCAAAATTAAAATATAATTTCAAGCAAAATTAAATATAATTCTGAGCATAACTCTGGACAAAATCAAATTATAAATTCAAGCATAATCTTGAGCTAAATTATACATAACTCCTGGCAAAATCAATTTCGGACAAAACTATAACTCCAGGAAAAATCAAAATATAATTCCAGGCAAAATTTCGTCAAAGCGTTTGACAGACATTCACAAATCAAGGAGGGTAATTCAATAAAAATACCATTATTAAGTTTAATTATAATAAAGAAATCAAGCCATAATGCAATTTAAAGAACTATAAATCTAAAAAGAAATCAAAGTATCAAAAATAATCTTTATATGGTATGTAGAATAATTACTTTATCAATATTCTAAAATTTGTGAATTCATTGGTGTCACGTGATTTCTTCGTAATATCTGATGAAGGTTTACTTCTTTACTGCCAAGACCAGTAAATAAATTTCTTAATTCACTATCGTTGCGTGTTATTTACTTCAAATGGAATGTCAAAGGTTTGCTGAGATTGCATATATAATAAACTTTTCGGGCCAAAATTCAAAATAGTGCTCATAGGCATTATTACTGTAGTCATCTTTATCTAGAGAAATAATTATTGATAAATATTTCATAAATTTGAATATACAGTACTTACAATGCATTATTTGAGATAAAATTATCAGTTGATTTTGAGAGTTAGAACTACGAGGCACACTTCTGATAGAAATTGTGTAAAATTTTATTTTGCTTGCGTGATGCTTTAAAAATAGACCGAAAATTCTAACTGTTCATAAATTTGCTAGGAGATTTTCATTTTGAATTATCGAATTTTTGTATTCCAAAAGTATAATAATATAAAAATACTCTAATTTTTAAAATTATATATTTTAATGCAATATAAAAAACCACTCTAATCCTAGTTGTCTTACTTTATCATACTTATAAACCAGTTTTTAAGTCAACTTATATAAAAAATATATTATTATATAATTGGACATAAATAAATATATAATTAATTCAGGTTATATTTGACGGTATACAGTATTACAAGTTGAAAAACCTGCATAGACCCTGTTTTTATTATGATTTTGTATCAGAATTATAATTAATAATAAGACTATGAATTTAACGTTAATATCGTGATCTGTCAAAACTGTAATTTACAGTTTTATTTAAAATGGATCGATAAAGCAAAATTTCTAAAATTAGAGAATAGAAAGAATGTCTCGAGAAGCATTGATTAAAAACTTAGAATGTAAACTTTTATCTGAAAAATGTGATCTCGGCAAAATTACAATTCAATATCTTAATGAAACAGAGAAACTTCTTTCTCGTCAACTTAGGCGTAAAGATATTACTGAAAAAGATTATAAATTTTGAACAATTGAAATTAATTGTATCAAAAATACTATCAAAGATTTGCAAATTAAAGTCACGAATTTACAAAATGAACTTAATAAATTAAAAAAAGAAAATAATTACTTATGCAGTGAAATAAATCAGCTCAGTCACAATTTCAGTTTAATTCAATTAAATAAAAATAAAAAAGGAGGCAAATTAATAAATAGAAAAAACATAAAAGGAAAAATGCATTAAAAAAAAATTAGAGAAATAATTGATTCATATAAAAAAAAATATGAACAAGGTAAATATATATTGAATTTTTTTCAGTATAAGTATTTTATTTAATTTATATTGAATCTTTAATTAAGTTACAATTGAAGCTGGCCCTTCAAAGATTGTCAAAATTATTGAAGATGAAGATTTAATTATTGAGACAAAATCAACGTTTGTTAAATTGGAAATTCCAGAAATTTTAGCTGGAATTGCTAATAATTTATCTCCAAGAGACATTTTAAATTTTTTACATGTAAATAGGTTGGTCAACAGTAAGATAAATAATCATTTTAATGAATATCAAAATTTTTGGAGAAATTACTTTTTTCAATTTCCCAAAA